CGGAGTGTGTGATCCACAATTCAGAGCACGGGCATCACCTGGAGCTTATTGGAAAGGCAGAATGAACCCTGCGGGTACTCACTGAAGGTTGTACTCAGGGGTTGCAAGGAGAACAAGAAAGTACAGGACACAGAATTCATAATGTTATCTATAATGGCCATCCAAGGAGTCACATACAAAGAGAGTGCAGGAAATCTGTCCACCACACAAAGGCCTAGAAAATTCAGCTGAGGGCCTGGATCCCATGACAACAACCTGTATAAGTTCAACTGAAAACCTAGAGCCCATGACAATGACTCATGCTAGTCTATACCATGGATCTGCTCTGGGAAGACTCTAAGGTCAGTGGTGGAAGCCAGAAAGTCTGTGCCAGCGGGTGGAAGCATCTGTGCCAGTAGGCTGAGGGTTCCGTGTTGGGAGCCAAGAAGTGATGCTCAAAATCAGGACCCGGGCCCCTCTGAAAAGTGCCATTGCTATCCCCAGTGACAGTGAGGTTCCGAGCTCTTCCAATGATGAGAACAGACAAGTTCATATCAGGGGAGCCAACATGACAAACTCCGCCAGGAGAACCAAGAACTCCAAACAACACACCACCTAAGAGTACCCACAACACTACTCTTCCTCTCCAGGTCTCCTTTTTATGCTTGCAACAGCCCTCAGATGGGCCCTCCACGCTCAGCACCACGCTGATCCAGTTCAGCTAGTGTTGAAGTTGATCATCAGTTACTGACCCACCACATGGGCTGTGCAGTGCAGCAGGCCCCCAGGTGAGTCCCGTAGATACCGTACATGTGAAGGAAGCTTTGTTTCCTTCCTTCAGCCAGAGATCACCAGTCACATCGGCTTCCCTTTGGGCCAGCCACTAAGTTTCCATTTGAAGGAATTATACGGGGCCCAAAAGAAATCTGAAAATCTCAGCTTTTTTTGCAAGACCCCGCGGTGTCCTTCTCACCACCCCATCCACTTGCACGGTGAGCACGGGTCTACACTTGGCTTGGGTGAGCTCCTGCTCCCGTGGACAGAATCACTGTTGTCTGTTAGTTTGGGAGGCAGAGGGAAGGATGGTAGGTGAAAAGCATCAGAAAACTGAAATCAGTTGTGAAACTTTCAGAGGATGAGAAGAAGGAACTTGGAAACCACAGACAGGGCAGCAGTGTCTCAATTCTGACTAAATTATGGGATGGAGTAATAGCAAAAATTTGTGAATATCTATAAGAACTTTGGAGAACTGCATCGCCACAAGGCTTCATTATAGATTCCTTGTCATAATAAACTTTCTGCTCCTTTGTGAATGAATTGCTAATATGGTTAATCAAGAAGATACGCATACAACACATGTAGAGTAAAACATTCGGTATATTTGGAGATGCACGTGTTATGATTTGCAAATCCATTGATAAAACAGGGTGAACAATCTCATCTGGATGTGACCCAGGGGTTATTTACTTTTTCGTATTTGAGACAGGTTGGCCTGACCCCCCTAGGTAGACCAGGCTGGGATTATAGGCGGGTGCCACCATGCCCTGCTATTTTGTTTTATTTTTGTTAGTTAAGTTTATAAGTATATTTTAGGTATACATAATGATAACATTCATTATAGTGCATTGTACCTGTATATAACTTGATTTTTTCTCATTTTCCTACTCTCTCTTCAATCCCTTGTCCCCTTTTTATTTACAAAAGTTTCATTTCCATTTTTCCTTATCTTTTTTCTTTTCTCAACCTTCTTTTCACCCTCCCCCTTCCTAATTCCCCTCCCCATTTGAATATTGTCTTCCTATTTCACAATATCTATTTACAGTTTTGTCCTTATTTACATTTTTGATTTCTTACACCAGAGAAACAATGTGGGTATTTAAACATGTGTGTCCAATTTACTTCACTTACAAGCATGGTCTCAAGGTGCAACCGTTTGGCTAGAAATGTCTCAACCTTATCCTTCTTTATGACTAAGTAGTACTACATTATATTAAAAAATCACGTCTTATTTATCCATTCATTGGCTGATGGGCCTTTGGGCGTTTCCAAGACTTAGTTATTACAAACTGTGTCACTGTAAACATACATGTGCATACATCGCTGTGGTATGATGCTTTTAATTCTTCCAGGATGTACCCCAGAGGGAAATGACTGGGTCAAATAGAACCTCTAGTCTTAGTTTTGTGAGGAATCTCCGCACTGATTTTCACAGTGGTTGTGCCAGTCTACGTTCCCCCCACAGTGGGGAAGGGTCCTTTTCTGCCACAGCCCCTCCAGCATTTGTTATTGCTTGACTTCTTTATAACAGCCATTCTCTCTGGGGTGAAATGGAATCACCAGTGTTGTTTTGATTTGTATTTCTCTAAGGGTTTATTTTAAATGAACATTATTTTTAAATCTTTAGGGGGACACAAGGACAGGTTCATTGTGCTAATAGGCTGACAGTGAATATAAGGAAGCCACAAAGCAGTATGGTGAAGGCTAGGGCCAATGATGGAATGGGTCTCCCAGTGGAGATGCATTAAGAGGCTAAACGAACATTGGTTAAAGGTTCCCAGTGTTATGGTTGATACACTGTGTCAACTTGAGAAGTTTAGAAATTTAACCAAGACCCAGTAGGAATCCAGGATCCTTACTTTGTGAACATCCTCAGCTTGTTTAGGAGAGGGCACAGAGGTGGTATGAGTGCTACACCCACCTTGGGTTGGAGGTAGTCTGATTACAATATAAGAAAGAAGAGGTCGTTCTCGGGCTTTTGCTCTGGCTGCTGCCTTGCAGTGTTGCCCCTGTGCCATGCCACTTGCCTTGGAGACAGCTGACCATTGACTGAAACCTTCACAAACAGTGAGCTAAATAAACCTTTCCTTCCTTCATTTTGGGTGTTGAATATTTTGTCCCAGCAGCAAGAGAAAAGTAACCAAGAATATTCATGGGAAAGAAGTATTCCTGATGGAATTCCTGACTGGGCATTTAGCTCAGTGGCATAAGTGCCTGCCTGGCAAGCACAAGGTAATGAGTTCAATCCTAGCACCAAAAACAAAAAGAAACATGATGGAATTCCTCGAAAAAAACCTTTTGGATTCTCAAGCAGCCCAGGAGATGAACATCAGACTTTTGTTTTCAACTTCACTGTATTATTCTGGAACTATTTGTTGATTTGTTAGCTTTATATAGCATTAGCATCTCTTTACCTTGCTTTTGTCCACTTGAATGAGATCAAATAAAAGAAAATGAAGAGGTGACGCACAAGGAATGAGAAGAAGCAAGACTGCATGGAATTTAGAAATTTCTAGTTAACTCCTAATTGCTAAATTTCTCTGCAGTACTCATGGATTTTTTTTGTATAGTGAATAAGGAAAGAATTTAATGAATTAGAATTTATTGAAGTATAATTTAATGAAGCAGAAATTTCTCAGGACTTCCTTTAACTGTTAGTGATTACAATAGATCTGTATTGCTGGAAAACTGTTTGCTTCAGGGTGGGAGATTTAGCTCAGTGGTGTAAGCGCCTGCCTGGCAAGCGCAAAGTTGTGAATTCGATCCCCAGTACCAAGAAAAAAAAAAAGTTTGCTTCTTCATCCAATCATCCTTTACTTATGAGAAAGAAAAAAATTTAAAGTACATCCCTAAGCATGTGAAGACAAAAAATTACATTTCTAGCACTGTAAATTCATAGATATGGAAGTCATTGCCATTAACAGTGTGTGCTGGTACTGAATGACAGCTCTAGATTTCACGGGATACGGTAATGGAATGTTGCTTCTTTAATCACTTCCTAAGGAAGACAGGTGCACTCGGAGACAGTGTAGCAGGTGTTATGGTCCTGTGCTAGACGTTCCAGGAGGGTGAAAACCAGAGGATATGACAGTTTGGTGACGAAAGTCTCTTCTCTAGGCCAATAGTTTCTGATGATATTCATATCGATTCAAAGAGAAAAAGTTCCATGTCACAATCAGAGGACATACAGAATAAAATTTTGCAAAGTTTCCTTGTAACAAACTTGCTGCAAAAATACATAGAAAGACTACACAGAATGCTTAGCTTGGGATTTTCCTCAGCTACACCCCCTCCTTCAAGTCCTGGGTAAGTCTGAGGGAGTGTCAGAATCCTAGTTAAACAAAGAGATTGTTCTGGGCATGACAATGAGAAAAAAGATATTCTGTTTAATTTGTCTCATATGTTGGAAAACTAAGTCTATTGTTCAGAGTACTTTGATGAGGAAAAAAGTTAATGATCCAAAAACAAGAAATGAATCCAGCACACTCATTGTCTTTCTCTGTCTTGTGATATTATGAGCTGTTATTAATGTTGCCACCTCTCTGGGGTAGGACACACAAACCATGTCCATATAGGTGAGTGGTTTTTTTTTTTCCCTAAGAGGAATTATTTTTAGGCTATCATTGCGGAATATTTTTGCTTTATAATTATATGCAAGCATTATATACTATAAATACATACTAACACAAAAGAAATAAAAATCAAAAATCATATTTTAACTTTCTCAAAAAGTATGCTACTTGGTCCATAAGAATATATGCAAACACAGATGTAAATTCTAAAGCATAGTTATATAATGCCTACCAAAAATACCATTGTCACTGTAATGGCATACTGTTTTTAAAGTGGTTGTTTTGTTTTACTTTCTTCCACATACTACAGTTGATTCTTATCTTCTCCAGTATTTGCTACTTTTATTTTTCTCAACTGTATACAAGTTATAAATATTGTAGTATAGAGTACTTAATAGACATTTTCAAAACAAAAGGTGATATTAATAAAATGATAATGAAAAATTGATATTACTTATTTATGTAACAAATATTATTTGCCTAGTAGGTACCTATCACTAAAAAAAATATAGGTGTACAAAAGAATAGATATAAAAAATAGTTGCTCCTTCAAGGGATTACAGCATAGATAACAGAAATACTCAACTAACTTGAGACAATTGTGTTATAATTTTGCACGTTTCCTTCTGCTCTCCTTTCTGCTTTTCCCTCATCTCTCTCTTTCTTCCGTAGCACTTTCCCAGAAACAAGCTCCAAGCAGCCGTTGCATCCACTGGTTGTCCCCTTGTGGCCACTGATTCTTGGACCGTGATCCTTGTTGCTCAGCCTTCTGCCCTGTGACAAATTCCTGAAAGAAGCACTTTTGACTCCGGGTTATGGAAGTTGCAGCCCGTGGCTGGCTGTCCCCTTGCTTTTGGTCTGTGTTGAGCTGGCAGCAGTGTGTGTGTGGTGGGGCACATGACAGGCACCCCATTTGCCTCATGGCTGGGAAGTGAAAGAGAAAGGAAGAGCCCAAGACCCCACAGCCTCCTAAAAGGCTGGGCCCATGTGTTCAGAGGACGTGCGCTGCACACCACCTCCCTGCGGGCCAGGCTGGGAACAAAGCCTGATGCTTGAGCCACCAGGGAGCCCTCCGGATCCAAGCAGTACCCCACAGTCTCCTGCTGAAGTGTGACCTGGATCCAAACGTGGGCAGCAGACAGAGCTGAGTGACGAAGCCTTTCTTATGTGCCTGGAGAGATGTAGGAAAGTTGACTGAAGGAAGATTTGGTTTAGAACTTCCAGTGCAAGAACTTCAAACTGAAAGAGTTAACTCTGAAATCACCAGGAAGAAGCCGAAGAATTTAAAGTCCTTCATTTTCTTAGTTACTGACTTATTCAGAAAAGATTACACCTGTAGGACCATAGTTAAATGTACAAAGAAAGAGAAGATACATGTATGTCTCAGGAATATATATATATATTTTTTTTTTCATAAAAAGAATAAAAGCAAGCCTGTGGTACCAAAAGCCAGTGTCTAAGACAACTCCTAAAATGCTATTTTTGATAAACACAGAAGATTGATTAGCCTGCACTGTCCTGGGAAAAGACTACAATTAACATTCCTTCCTTCCTACCTGGCGTGCATTATTCTGGATAAATTTAATGTCTACCCTTAAGCAATATTCTCTTTCCTAACAGTTTATTACTTTCTTTTTAGACTCTTGTTTTGCATTACTTTAATGTCAAACATGATTAGCTACTTTTCTAATTTGTATATAACACAAATTCCTAACGAACTCCGTAGTTCAGCGAGGACTGATTTGAACTTTTAGTTTACATAGTGAGCGTGTTTTAGGAATGATGCTGATGATAGGAACAAAGACCAGAGTCCAAATGAAATGTGGGATGAATGAAAAGCCTGCCGTGGGCTCCATGACATTAAAAATGCCGTTTCTCCTAATTGTCCTTCGTAGCATCATTTTTATGTGGCTGTTCTCTCATGAGGGTATTTCCAGGAAGTTGCGAGCAAAAGAACTGCAGCCAGAGAACTGCACATTCCAGGACTCATCACGATCCCTCCCAGAGAAATTTCAAGTATTCAAGGCATTAAAATGATCATATACTGATCCTAACATTAAACACTTAACTAAATCTATGATTGCCAAACATATCTGTCAAAAGGAGCCTTTTATTACTTGCAAGACAAACTTTATTGGGTCTAATGAGATACAGGCCATTTGTGTGGTACTTAAGCCTAGAAAAAAAGAAATGAGACCATTACAAGAACAACAACCATCATGCCAGCAACAGCAATAACAACACAGACACGAAATGATCGAGTGACAGGGCTTTCTGTGACAGGGGTTCAGACTGGCCCCCTCACAGAAACCAGAGGCCGGCTTTATGAACTAGGTGGGGGGGGGGAGCACTGGGGCTTGTTGGCTCATTTTCTCATTCTGGTTTCCAGAGTTCTGGAAGGATCCTTCAAGTTTGAGCAACAGTTGAGTCCCAGTGAGATGACTGCTTGGAGGTGACCTTGCCAAGTCTCTGCCCTTCCGGGAAGCCAGGGTAGTGACAGATTTGATTTTCCAATCACAACTCTGCAGTGGGGGAGTGGTCTGCTTAAAATCTGGCAATACAAAGTCCTGTAAATGCTGAAAACTTACCTTGGGGTCCTTAGTCTTGAAGGCAGAGGAGCTACACTAGGTAAATTTAGGGCTAATGAACCTTGTCTCACCAACTTTTCTCAAATCACGAGAATTCCTACACAGGGAACTAACAGGAATCTAACCCAGGGTCTCACTACAATCAGAGAGGCAAAAGTCCAGTGTTCTGTTCCTTGTCTACTTATTTTTTATTTCTTCTATTCTAACTGTTTCACAGAAGCTCTTTTATGGTTTATTCCCAGGTTTTCAGGTAGAAAGTTGCAGCTAAAGAGAAAGATGTAGTCAGCAGAGTCCAACAGGGACTCTAACTATGACTCTGACCCTGAGCCCGGCTCTGACCCTAACCCTAATCCTAACCTAATGCAGACAGTAGAGTCCAACAGGGACCCCAACCCTAATCTCTAACCTTAAATCTTAACCCTAAACCCAGCCCTTTGTTAAGAAGTAGTAGAGAAAAGCAGACAGAATGAGCCAGCAGAGAAGGGAAGGAAGCTGAGGGGAAATATTCACACAAGCTCTTAGAGGACTCTGAGTGTGAAAAGTCTGTGAAAATGGATGAATACAACCTCTAACAGTAGTTTAGTAAATTATGTGATTACTGTAGTCAGTTAGGTTAGGTTAAAGGGAAGACGATGCCCATCCAAGTTGGATGATAGTTTACAGGAGACTTACATTAATGATTACGAGGCTTTACACATCATACTCCTGAAAAGGGCAAAAGAAGGAGAGCTTGCTGTCCCAGCACATACAGGCAAGGATGAGTGGAAATGTAAGGGGCACAGAAAAATGTCAGAGGATGCTGATTACCGTCCGCTGTCTATGGTAGAGCTCTAACCCGAGGACCAGATGTGGGGATTTCATAAAGGAGGGGTGAGGGGCAGTTTATTCCAGATTGCATTCTTCCAGAGGTCACTATCTCGCGTATGGTTCCCCTTTATCTCTCTTGACTCTCTTACATGTTTGTCCTAAATCAGAAAGAAAGGCACTAGAAAAAAAAAAACACTGTGTGTATCTGTGTGCACATTTGCACACACACATACACACACACATCTTCCAAATTCTTACCCTTCACAAAACACACCAGGCGAGATCCTGAATGAGAACCAGAGCTGGAATTTTTAAGGTTAATTTAGCTTGATTTTTCTAGCATGCCTAATAATCTATCAGGAATTTTACCATTACCTTGAAACTCAGCTCAGTGCTCCCTATTTCCCATCCGGAGAAGGTTAAGGAGAAACAGCTGCATGGCCTGCAGAAGCCTCCAAGTAAACATCCTCCCGTCCTTGCCTCCGATAAGAAAGACTTCTTTTCCTTACCTTTACCTTTTAAGACCATTGCTTCTCCCACTACTTCACGCCAAAGGCTGTTGTTGGTTAGCTGTGATTTTACTTACACATGTAATTAATCATGTCGCTAGCAGATGGCTGTTTTGGATAATGATTCATGGTGAACTTTTTAAAAAATCATACTGAGATTGCAGATGGGGTGGGTGGTACTAGCATGAAATGCCAGGAGTTAGTTTTAAGCAAACATTTTCATTAACAAGAACAGGACATCTTGAATGAGTTTTCAAAACTTAATTAAGTGTATTTGCACATCTTGGGCAGACATAATGATCACACTCATCACAGGGAATTTGTACCTGTGCACGACGGATCTTGATTCCTCTTTCTCTGTTTCCCTATCCTCCCTCCAACCCCTCCTCGTTGTTATTTACAAAAGCTTTGTTTCCCGTTTCCCTTTTTTCCTGTTTATTTCCTTTTCCTTTCCTTTCCCTCTCCCCCTTTTCTCCTTCCTCTCCCCATGTGAACATTTTCTTCCTATTTCACAATATCTGTTATCCATTTGGTCCTTATTTACTCCTTGGTTTCTCATATCAGTGAAACAAGATGGAATTCACATATGTGTGTCCAGTTGATTTCACATAAGAGTGTGGCCTTAGGGTGCCTCAGATTGCCTGAAATGCCCTCAAGTTTATCCTTGTTTATGGCTGAGTCATCCTCCACTGTATTAAACAAAGCACTCCGCTTTATCCATTTATCAGTTGATGGACTGATTCCAAGATTTTGTTACTATAAACTATGCTGCTATAAACATGGGTATGCATATATCTCTGTGATATAATGTTTTTAATTCTTTTTTATTTTAAAGGGAGTAAAACAGAACAATAAAATGAAACAAAACAAAATAGTGACAGTAGGAAATCCACAGTCATTACGGTACTGCATGTTATTGTCCTCTAAATAGTTGCCCAGACCACTGGCCCAGGCCTGCAAAGTTAATCAACATAAACGTCAGGCTGCTTCCCTGTTTCAGTTATTATCATCTTAGTACGCTTTAGGTCTGTCTGCTCACCTTGGCAGGGGGAGGTGGGGAGGTGGGGAGGGGCTTCCCTGCTGCTTCTCCTGGGCCAGCGGGAGCTCTTCCTGTGCGGGGCGGGGCTGCATTTCTTCCTTATTAGTTCTCCCTGGCAGACCTGCTTTTAATTCTTTAGGGAAGATATCAAGAAGCACAATTGGAATCTTTAGTTTTAGTTTTTGGGGAATCTCCACATCAGCCCACACTCCCACCAACCGTGGAGGTTCCTTTTTTTTTTTTTTTTTTTTAATTTTATTTAAGGAGAAAAAGAAAAAAAAACAGAAAAAGGGTACAAGTTATACAGGATTTCAGAAAAAAGAAACAGTAGGAAATCACTAGTTAATAGATTACATATTGTCATCTTAGACATAGTTGTTCAAGTTACAAAATTAAAGCATATAAAGTGGACATTCAAACAGTGAGATTGCAAACAGTTCTGTTCAGTGAGCCAACAAAACTCAGTAATATGGTTATCTATCTTATACACTTAAATATACATGCAGTTATATCCTTTAGAGCACTTTTGTTTCCTCTCTTTTGTACAATGACAGTTACACATTTGGGGTTTTATTACTCCCACAATTCTTATTACTTTTTTTGAAGGGAATAAAACCAAATGTGACATAACAGAACAGAGTCAGTTGAATCAAAAGGATGGACATAGTACATAATGTAAAAACAGAATACAAGGTGATCAACACTGGTTACCATAATGCCTCCTGCTATCTTAAAAAGTATTGCCTATATCATCAGTTATAATAAAATTGAACAAAACAGTAAAGAACAAAACCAATAAAACCAAAACATTGGAGACATTGCAGGACTTCAAAAGAAGGTAATAGTCAAACCAGAATGGGCATCATAATGAATCTTATTGTCTTCACAGTTGTTGCCTATACTCTCAAACTTGGTAGTATCAAGCAAAACAGATCAGAGGAAAATCAGTCAAAACAAGAAGGTGAGAGCAATACATGGTTTCAAATCAAGTTAATAGGAAATCAAAGTGGGTTACTATAATATATCCTGTTATTTTTTAAAATTTTCCCCTTAAAAAGATAAAAATACAAAAAGTAAATAATATAAAAAAGGAGATTGAGATAAAAGAGGACATAACAACAAAACAGCGCAGGTCAAAACATAACCATTTAAGCAAAATAGTGTTTCACCACAAGATATCATATCCCGACATAAAAGTAGTTACCATAGTGTCTCTTTCCTTGAAATCTTTGAGTATAACTTTGTATACTGTAGCATCAAACATATCAAGACAATGTAAAACCATTCAAAGGAATCACAGTATTACAGGGTATTTAGAACCAACTAACAGAAAATGAACAATGGTTTCTGTATAATCTCCTTGTCTATAAAAGTTTTTCTTTATACTATCACATATAATAAAATCCAATAAGATACAACATGTTAAGACCGATGGAGACAAAAGAACAAAAGCTTGATGGGATTTCAAAACAAGATGATATTGAATCAGCACTAGCTATTATGATGTCTTGTTTTCTCCAAAATAGCTGTTCCTATCATCCAGCCTTCTCTGCCTCATTTCTGTTGAGCTCTTTTTCTGTCATTAGTTGTCAGTTTGTCTTCTTCATTTCACTTTCTGCTCCATTCATTGTGGCCTCTCTGCCACTGTTTCTGGAATCTTGGTATTTTTCTTTTTTTAGAATATCCTGCAGTATTCTCTGTAGAGTTGAATTGGTGGTTGCAAATTCCCCTAGTTCCTCTTTATCCTGGAAGCACCTTGTTTTTCCATCAATTTCTAGGGACAGTTGTGCAGGATATATCAATCTTGGTTGGAGGTTATTATCTTTCAAAGCTTGAATTATTTCCCCCCACGCTTTTTGTAATTTGATGGTTTGTGCCGAGAAGTCTGCTGTAATTCTGATGGGTGTTCCCTTGTAAGTGATCTGTTTCTTGTCTCTGA